TTCAAGTTACCACAGCCTCCTCTACCAATGCACCTGACAAAGTTGATGTGATCCCCATCGAATCATGTATCAATCTCAACGATATCGAGATTGCCGCTAAGCGGGTTCTGCCCCGACGCGCGTGGGCATACTTTTCGTCCGCGGCAGAGGACCTCCATTCTCTGCGTTACAACCTCGACGACTGGAGCCGGGTACTGTTCCGCCCGAGGATTCTGAAGGACGTGAAACGGGTCAACATGCAGCGTACTATCCTTGGATTTGAGAGCAACCTTCCATTCTTTATCGCGCCGGCCGCCATGGCCCGGCTCGGTCACCCCGATGGCGAGCTCTGTCTTGTCCGAGGCAGTGCACGCTACAACATTCCCTACTGCTCGAGTAATGCTTCTTCGGTGTCGCACGAGGAGCTTTCACAGTGCTTACGGCAGGAACAGCAGGAACGGCAGGGCGGATGTCTGTTTTTCCAGCTCTACGCCAGAAGGACCAAGGAAGACACCATCGAACAGCTCCGGCGAGCGAAAACCCTGGGGTTCAAAGCCTTGGTCATCACGGTCGACACGCCGGTCGTGGGCATCCGCGAAGACGACGATAGGAACCGGATGAGGGAAGCCGCCGAGAACAACGAGCCATACGTCCCAATGTGGGGGCCTCCCCCAACAGAGCAAAGCGAGGATTATGTGTTCCGGGGCGCTCACTCGTCCTCGTTGAACTGGGACGATTTACAGTGGATCAAGGAGGAATGGGCCAACACGGGCCCGATATCCATCAAAGGCATTTTGACGGCCGAGGACGCAAAGATTGCATGCGACATGGGTCTCGAGAGTATCTACCTCAGCAATCATGGCGGGCGGCAGTTGGAGTCGTCGCCGTCGGCGTTGAGGACTTTGCTCGAAATCAGACAGGTATACCCCGAGGTACTGTCGAAATGCGAAGTACTTCTGGACGGCGGTGTCAGGCGCTCCAGGGACATACTCAAAGCTCTCTGCCTAGGAGCAAGAGCAGTAGGCCTCGGTCGACCCTTCTTGTATGGTCTGAGTGCTTACGGGACCGAGGGGGTATACAAGGTCATTCAGAGTCAGACACTCCCCTCTAAATGTGGTTGTATCTCTGCTAACTCCCGTTGATACAGTGTTGAGCGAGGAATTGGAAACTTCGATGAGGCTTCTAGGGGTTACTTCACTTGATCAGCTCTCTTCACGGTTTGTCAACACGCGCGACTTGGACACATCGATTGCACTTGACGTGGCAGACTTCAACCTCGCTCGCGCCAAATTGTGAAGGAGAAAGCATCAAGCGTCGAGTGCTGGACGCGAGTGCAAAGGCGTTAACAGGGTACACGCCAATAAATTGTTACACCAGGATTGACTGTTTGAGAGGCATCGTTATGTAGACTGGTTTTTTTTGTGCGGCCTCGAGTGGCCCTAGACTACAACTGACTGACTGTAAATATTCAATCGGCATATACTGACTCCAGGACGGACTTGTTTCCTGGTGCTCAGGCGAGGCACAAACAAAGTGGGCAGGACGATAAGCCAATGACGGACCATGGATTGGACCCTCGGCTATTTTGTGAGACCATCATTGGGCATATGATAATGTTCTAACCATATTTGGAATGGTAGCCGCACGTGATTTCACGCTCGCACATCAAACTGGATACCAAGTTGATTGAATTCCCACGAGGTCGGCGCTCGACGACGAGCCTCTGTGGCCACATCCTCTGGAGATCGGTGTAACCTGAATTAACCCCCAACCGACTCGCCGAGTTGAATTCAATGCCAAGAAGGGCTGGAAGTGGATGACTTCCCATCATGATCGATCCATGCCCCAGATGGGGTCAAGGGCCCCAGATCCAACACGCTATCCCGCACGAGTGGCGCAGGCAGCGGCTCGAAGGCGGCCATCGACCTCCGCCAATTCCCAGCACAGGACTTGCACTCCAGAAACCCTCTGAATGCAAGCAATACCTTACCTTCCACCATGCTCACACCCTATTCGACAGCTACAGGTTCATCGTCTGTTGTGACAGCGGTGACATTCCCAGATCGCGGGGACGGCTGATTGTATACATTATTCGTCTGGAATGATCAGGATGACTTGTCCGAGTGAACCATCAACCAAGGCTCGAGACAAATATGCAGCACAGGCATGTGCAGCGTGCCAACGGCGCAAGAGGAAGTGCTCTGGAGAGATGCCGTGTCAGAACTGTCGGCTGTCCGCCACTGAGTGTGCCTATTCTGGAATCCGTCTGCCACGAGGTCGTCGGCCAGCAAAGGCGGCGCAAAGGGCCGCCGCTTCGAGCCGGCGTGGTAAAGATGACTCGCGGGCCAATGTCAATATCTCGGCTTCGATGAGCCTCCCCTCGCCTGTCGACAGTGACATCGAAGTGCGACTTCAAAGCCAGGCGCTCGAGCAACGCTGTAAATTCCTTGAACACCAGCTCACGAGTCTTACGAGGCAAGTGGGAGGGACTGACAAGACGACCGACTCAGCGTGCTCCAACGACAATTCCCACTACCTGTTCTCCTACGAGCGGTCAGCAAAACCTTCTCGCGTCATGCACGACGCACCGTGCCCCGACACTTTTGCACGTTCTGAACCCAAGCGCACCCTTTCATTTCTGGGCCAGTTTGAGGCCCTGGAAGATGCTCTCGAGTCGGACTACAGTGCCCGACACGACAGGTTCATCTCGATGGAATCGCCAGCTCCCAACGCAGCACCCGCTCGCACCATCACGACCACGATGAGTCCTCCTCAGCATGGCCCCGAAAGAAGCGAAGGAGACGAAATCATGGCACAGATGAGACTCGACGGGGTGGATCAGATGAGCCAGTGTCTTGATACCTACTTCACGAGCGTCCATTCAAGCTATCCATGCGTCAACGAGACCCATATGCGGTCGATGTTTGCCGCATTCCTGGCCAACGACTCCAATTACGCATCCCGAGAGCTTGCCATGGAAGAGTTTGCAGCCCTCCTCAATCTCATCATGGCAGTGGCGCAGGTGGCCTCTGACACGTCTTCTGGGAACGACGATTCCGTCCCGGGGTACCAACAAGTTTGTCGTGCAGAAAGACTACTGAATCTTGCCGCGTGGCAGGACAAACCCAGCCTCACCACAATACAGGCCATGCTTGTCAAGAGTTTGTACCATTTGTACACCTTGAAACTCAACGCCGCGTACGCCACGATAGGAGCCGCCGTGCGCTTATGCTTCTCGATGGGACTGCACCGAGACGAAGGCTGGGGAGAAGACTCGTTGGGCTTCTACGGAAGAACATATCGTCAACGCACTTTCTGGTGTCTATATTGTCTAAATTCGGAAATCGCTCACGCACTGGCTGTACCCGACTTGTTCCCTCTGTCGAGTTGTGACGTGGGCCTACCAGCGTGCGTGGACGACAGGATGCTCTATCCAGGCTGTTCGTCGCTGTACGAACTTCCTAGGACGTCACCCGTCCCGTATCTGCTTGAGTGTGTCGAACGGACAAAGTCGTGCTCCGAGATGTGGGACGAACTGTACTCCCATGTCAGCGCCAGTAAGCCAATTTCTTCGAACCTGGTTGCACGGCTGGACAACAAGATCTTGCAGCTATCGCAGCAAGCACCAGGCCATCTTCGATGGTCCGCGTCATCGCGATGGGGGTCTGGCTGCGGCTCTGATGAACTTCATGCCTTCGTGCAGGACCAGAGCCTGCGTCTCTATCTCCTCGCCCGCAGTTCGCGGCTTCGCATTCGTCGGCAAGAGTTGCTGAGTCTCAACCACAGGAGCCAGACGGGGACGGAGGTGGTCCAGATTGCGGCCGAGATCATCACTGCGGTCGAGCTCGGGTGGTCATCAACAAGCCAGTGGAAGCGTACCGAGCGATACACCTATGTGGTACACCTCGCCGAAGCGCTCCTCGGGTTGATTTGCGTCACTTCGGCCCAAGACACGAGCGACGCCTCTGGTCCACCCGCACATGGTTTGTCAATCGTGGACTTGTTTGAACGGACACTTCGGACTCTCGATGACATTTCCACCGGGTTCTATACCGGAAGACAGATTCTCCATCTGCTAGATGGACCTGTCCGCATCGCTCGAGGTCGACAGGCCGTCCTTCGCCAGGAGGCTTTGTCCAGTGTAATCCCGACGCCGACTTTGCAAGCATCGGGACCAGGACCAAGATCTGCTGCCCCAGACAATCCCACTTTCCGAGAGGTCAGCATGGCTTTAAATCCGTCCTCCTCAGACCGCAATCAGGGCCTGGCTTCAAGTCACCACAATGACTATCTCGCCGCCGACTGTGGCGTTGGCGACGCTGAGGGCATGGTTCCCGGCTTCGCGAATCTCGGGCTGCCAAACTGGAACCCTGTCGGCTTTGGTGATGATTTGCATCATGGCTGGCAGACTTATTCCTCCATTCCCATGACCTTGACATAGCGATGAGGGGAATTGAGTGTATTCAACGTTGTAGGTTCTTGTACATGTATTAGGGTGCTCGATCTCAGGAGCTAACCAGTCGATCGATTATTCCGCATTCCTATACGAGTCAAAGTATGCATTTGCTGTGAATATGGTGATATGACAGTTGGGACACATGCATGACGCACTTTAAGGATGAGGTGTAGTGGGCGCCAGAAAGGCCACGGGGCGCCCAGAAGTTGGGCCCGGGTTCTTCCCACTTGTTAATTGTAGGCACCTTCTACCTGCCTCGCTGTGCACTGGGGGCGCCTATGGCGAGAAGTCAGTGGGCATACCGTAGCCGTTGTTACTAGTTAAGGTCAACATATCGTCCATGACCCCCGCGTCCCGCTTCCCTCTTCGCTCTCTCCCAACCCCGTCCCTGTAACAATCCCTACAATTAAGTCGGTATCTTTCCCCAAGGGTCCATCTTCCGCCTCTCGACCATTTCTTTACTCGTCATGCAGGCAATGTGTGTCTAGCGTCCAGCACCGCCGTCCCTTCGCTCAATATTCAAGTTTCGGTGCCGCCTCAAACCAGACATCCCAGAGTTACCAGCATGGAAAGACAAGCGAAACCCGCACGGCGACGCAAGCGAGGCCATTCAACATCATCGCCCTCGCCTTCGCCCTCACCCTCGGCATCGCCCTCCGGTGGATCGGTTGCTCTGGCATGCCTGAGATGCAGATCGAAAAAGAAAAAGGTCGGGATCTGTCTGGAGAACGAAATCATCTTCGCCCGGGGGTGTTTGCTGATCTCTGTGCAGTGTGACGGCAATGCACCGACTTGTCGAACGTGCAGGAAGCTCCGTGTCCCGTGTGTGTGGCCGCAGGGAGACCAACGAAAATTGTAAGAAATCTGCAATTCGCAGCTGGCCGACGGGAGTAGAGTGACTGACTGGCCATCTAATACACGAAGCCCTTCGTCCAAAAGCCACATCAAGGAACTCTATGACCGTATCGAAGCTCTCCAGAATGCGCTTGCAGCGGCGCAATCGCTAGTTGCTGCTTCACGGACAGAGACCTCCGACAGTCAAGCGCTGACTGCTCCAACACCCACTGACGCTGTCTCGACGAACACGAAGCCTCCTCCAGAAGCAGAAAGCAGCGGCGCCACCGAGGACAGTCTCATTTCTCGTCTGTGCGGCCGACAGTGGAAACTCAACAGCGACAGAGGAGGACAGTACCGCTTTTTTGGACCTACATCTAGTCTACACCTGACCGAGAGCGTGTCTTCGTCCTTGGTGGATAATTCCTACAGTGCGCCCTTTGGCGGTGATGATCCTAGGCTTCAAGAACTGGTCGACCGGGAGACCCAGGACTACCTTCTCAATCTTTACTGGAAGTATCAAGACAACGTCTTACGCGTCTTCCACAAAGGAGCATTCTTGCACGACCTGGAGAGGAGGCAGACCCGATACGTGAGCAAGGCCCTTCTCACCTGCATCTTTGCCAGCGCCGCTCGCATTTCCGACCGTCCGGCTATTCGAGCTCTGGCGCTGTCCACGCACGACGACAGTATGGACGAGAAGCAACCACCTCTCCTTGCCCTCGCTACACAATATCTCGATGAAGAGTTGATGCATCCTCAACTCACGACCATACAGTCACTCTTACTCCTGTCCACGAGCTACTGTGCCCTCAGTTTGGACACTAAAGGATGGTTGATAACAGGTATGCACCAAGTCGGGATATCGTCCGGCATCAGCCGCAGACGTTGCTGACTTCTGCCGTCCGCAGGTAACGCGTGTAGGCTAGCGATCGACCTAGGACTACACTTTGGCACAAACAAGTTGAGTTCCCCGTCCTTGACGGATCTGGATATCGAAGCTCGCCAGAACACCTTCTGGGCGTGCATCGTCTTTGATCGGTAATTCCCACCCCTCGATGCCTCATCAGCCCTATGGCAATCTAATTAATCTGTCAGACTCTGGTCGGTATATCTTGGTCGGCCTTGTTGTTTTCCATTGAAGGACTTGGGTGTCCGCGACCCTGCATACTCTCGAATGGAGCGATCGTGGGAGACGGACATGGCTTACGCGTGGGCTACTCTTTTGGAGATCCTGGGCCACATTAGCGATACAATGTAAGTCATGTTTTGGTGCGAACTCGGGGCCTCGTCCAGAAAGGCCCAAGAAGCAAGACCCATCGCTCACTGACTGGCTTCAGAAACGGGGAACGATGTACGCTAGAAACGCTCTCGGAACTCGACGAGTGGCTTCGATTCTGGTCCACCCATCTCCAGCCGTCGATTCACTATCATCGCGAGACGCAACAACCTGCAATCACCGTCCTTCAGTAAGTACATGATATTTTCTCGCTTCGTCTCTTGGTGGACTTTATTTTCACATTGACTTGGATCCATTACTCACCTCCGTATGTCTTGTCGTCGACCATAGCATGAAATACTGTGCAGTTGTGATTCTGCTGCATCGCCACATGGCTGAATTCCCCGCGGGCTCGAAACAAGGCCATTTCCGGGCATCATGCATCCACCACGCGATCGAGATGACACAAATCCTCCAAGACTACCGCCGAACGCACGGTGACGCGAGGACTCTGAGTGGGATTGCGATTTTCAGCATTGCCACTGCGGCGACAACCTTCATTGCGGAAATCGCAGAACGACGATCCTCACGGCAGAGGCGTGGCATCAGCTGAACTGTCTCAAGACCTGTGTCAAGACGCTGGAAGAGCTCCAAATCTCCTACCCGGTCGCGCGCAAGGTCCGGCAGACCATTCAGCTGATCATGAGGTTGTGTCGGATAGGGACCAGCTGTCTGTTCCCTGGTCACGCAACACCGACGGAAGATTCCTGGCAAGGTCCAAGCGGGGCCCGGCGTGGTTGGGATGTTAACATTAACGTCAATTTCAACGTCAACGTCAACGTCAACGACAATGGGTCCATAGGAACCGCTCTAGTCGGGGCGACAGAATCCCAAAGCGGCCCTCCCCTGATGGCCGCCGACGACGACGAACAAGCGCAGGTCTTTTCTTCGGGCGACAATGGCGAGTTCGCCGCAAGCTACAGCCCTTTTGCGTATGACGAGTACCTTCCGGCGTCGGCTCAGTTTGACATTTTGTACGGCTTCGGAGCGTCATTGTTCTCATAAGCGATGTTATTCGGTTCCAGGCGATCATCCTTTGTGAGGAGGTGAGGGCGAGGCAGTGCCTGGGCTGGCCTCCAAGCCTCTTCGACGTTCACAGGACGTATTGTGTAGCAAAGCCGTGTCCTGGAAATCACAGGCATACCCGGGCTCAGGAACCCCCCCAAGCTCTGACGATTTGACGACCAGAGGCAGCCAGAGCGGGTGTCGTGATCCACAAGCATGCATGCGTGATCTTCTGACACCAAACATCATAGCGGGGTCGAGGTTGTCAGTGCTGGGACGCGAACCAGGCGAGCTTGGGGAGGCGAATGAGCGAGCAGCTCTTGGAAACGCACTACGATGGGCCCGCTCGTGGAAGCGGAACATTTCAGCAGGGGAAAGTGAGTATGCGTAGGTATGTGGCCGTGGCAAAAGTGGATACTTTGGCTCAGTAGCAATAATATGGAACATGGTCTAGCCAGAAACGGATTGTATATATATACCTCATTTATATAACTAATTACATATAATACCGAGTATATGAATGAATGAACAAACAACGCTTCCTCCATTTTCTTGGAAACTCATGCTCGTAGAAAGTCTTCTTTAGACTGATCTATTGTTCCTTTCTCCCTGCTCGTTTTACCTGTCCTCCCGCCCCGCCACCGAGAACTCCTTTGCCTATTTTTATCTTTTTCCCTTGCACGTCTATCTGTCTCGAGATGCCTACCTTCGACCCTGACTCGGATCACTTTCCCAATCTCGCCGATCTGGAGCAAATCCCCGGAGCGCCCAAGCACGCGGCGTGGTTCTGGGGCGAGAATGACGAGGTTTGTCGCTGTCGCTCGTTAATACTTGTGCTTTGTGGCTCCCTGAATCAAGAAGACCCGGGTTGCGATTGAGAACCGAGATTGAGACTGAGACATGTACTGTGGCATTCTCGCTCTGCGTACAGTTGGGCCGATTGAACCTGCTCACGGCGCGGCGGGTCGCGGATGCTGCCAGATTGATTCGCACGGGCGAGAGGGTCGCTTTGAAGTAGGTGTTCTCTAATCGTTACATGCAGTGCCGTGTCTTTTTCTCCATTGAAATGCTGTCCGAGGCTGCATTTTGTGGTCTGTGGCCTAGGTACATGTTGCATGTGTACAACAGAGATATCTCCCTCCCTCCCCCTCTTCTCTGTTTGTATGTGTATACTCACGGCATTCCTCTCCTCCAGCTTCCCCCTCGACTATCCAGACCCCCCCTTCTTCGGCCGCGAAACCTTCAAACACCGCCTGAAGCAGCTGAACGAGTCCTCCTACGACGACCTGTACGATTTCAACTCGCAGAGCGGATCGCAATGGGATGGGTATCGGCATGTGAGAGATCCTGTTGCGTATATGTTGCTGTTTAGATTCTGGTTTCTGACTCTCAGAGCATCCGCACAAAACTTGACAGGTCGGCTTCTCGCATAATGGATCTTGGGTTTGGTATAACAATGTATGTATCGGGCACTCTGATGGCTTGTCCTGGTCGAATTGACGACGACGACGACGACGACGACGAGCACTACCAGTGCTGACACATGGCCCAGACCACTCGCGAGCAAATTGTCAATTCACCGAGAATCGGACTCCAAGCATGGGGAAAACAGGGCATCGGTACGTATGACAGCACATGGTCTCTTTCTCGTGCGTCAGATCGACGGATCCATCATGAAACTGACTCCTGGGGCCTTTCTTTTCCTAGCTGGCCGCGCCGTCCTTCTCGACATCTACTCCTTCACGAAAGAATCGTACGATCCGCTCTCCGCCAGGAGAATCACGCTGGCGGAGCTGCGCGCGTGCGCCGAAGCCGAGGGCGTCGAGTTCAAGTACGGCGACATCCTGCTCGTGCGTACGGGCTGGTCCGCGGGATACAACCAGCTCGACGCGGCGGGGCGGCAGGCGTACCGGACCAAAGGGTTCCACGAGCTGGCCTTTGCCGGGGTGGGCTGCGGGGAGGAGGTGGTCGAGTTCCTGCACGACAACTACTTCAGCGCCGTGGCGAGCGACTCGCCCACGTTCGAGTCCTGGCCGCCCTCTCTCGAGCCGGGTCAGGAGATCCTGCATTCCTTCCTCCTGCCGCTCTGGGGCGTGCCCATCGGCGAGATGTGGGACCTCGACGGCCTGGCCGAGCTGTGCAAAAAGACGCGTCGGTGGGAGTTTTTCCTCACCAGTTGTCCGGCAAATGTCAAGGGTGAAAAAATCCCTGTCCCTGTCTTTCTTTCACCAGAGCTTTCTTTGCTGATCCTCTATCAAATATAGGTGGGGTGGGTAGCCATCCTAACGCTATTGCCTTGTTCTGATTTGCCGTTGGGAGGGAACACTGGATACTAGACAATAGACACTACCCCTTCTTCTTCTTCTTCTTCTTCTTCTTCTTCTTCTTCTTCTTCTTCTTCTTCTTCTTCTTCTTCTTCTTCTTCTTCTTCTTCTTTTTCTTTTTCTTTTTCTGGTGGTTAGCCAGGCACGCAGCCACCCAGCCGCGTAGGTACAGGCGCAGGTGAACAAGCACAAGTAAACTCCAACTCGAAATAAAAAAGGGGGCCAAATCAGACCAGGCCAGACTATACCAGAAACACGAGGGGGCCAAAAGAGATCTAGATCAACCCAGATCAACCCAGAACACGTGCATGGACATGTACCATGGTATGGCACCGCAGTGGGACAGGTGCTCCGAACCAAGTAGACACGGTAGAGAGAAGACTCGTGAATAGTGAGGAGTGAGGAGTGAGTAGTGTAGTGGGGGATGCCAAAAATTCCGCAAAATAAATTCCGCCAGGCGCATCTCAGTGAGCGGACATTGTTGTCCTGCGGGGGATATTCGCGTTGGGCAGAGTGGCGGGATGTGGGATGGCGGAATGGGCGGGATTGGCGGGACTTGTGGAATCGAGGTACATATCGAGATGTGTAGGTCGGGATATGAACACACACACACACACACACACACACACACACACACACACATACATACGGTCTATGAGATGCGTTATTGAGGTGGTACCACGGGTTGGGTGCTGTACAGGCACACAGGCAACACTGTTGTACACGGTCTCTGCTGTATCTAGGTAGTTACGGTCGGAATCGGATTTATTGCATCGACGTCGAGTGATTGGTATCAATCTAGGTACAGACAGAAGGACGGTGTCATTGCCTATTCCTCGTAGAGAGAGGAAATCTACACTGGCCGACACGCTCAACAGCCACGGTAAACCGTCTGGTGGTAGCTAAGCCACTCTTTCATCCCTTCATTCCCTTCTTCCTTCGCCAAATGTTGTGCATGGCCAGAGGCTTTGTATGCTCCCCTTACTACTCCCCCCCCCCCCCTTTTTTTTTTCATGTTGGCCCCTTTTTACATTTTATGCAATCACTTGATATAGTACGCGAGATCTCCCCCGTCGATTTCCAATTGAGTAAACCCATTGCCACAAAAGCCCCAGCGGTTCTGCAACCCAAGGACGATCATGGTTAGCATCATGTGGAACACATGGGGGCGAATCCCTACACGAGTGAAGGGAATGGAGAGATAGATACCTTTTTGTTCTGATAGGTTATGTCAAAGTCCTCGGCGCGGATGTTTTCGATCAGATCCTTGAAATGCAGGATCGAGCCGGGATACAGGGCAAAGATGCGGCCCAGGTCGTTCTTGTACCAGCTCTTGCACCCGCTGGTCCAGACGGTGCGCTTGAGGACCTCGTCGCCGTAGATGTTCCATTCGTCCTGGACGTCTTGCTTGACGTTGAACGATCTGTTTTGTGCGGGTATTCAGTAAAGTTTTTTTTTCTTTTGCGGCGATGAAATCCCACTTGTACAGTCCATCGAGCGAGGAGAGAAGACGACAACCGCAGCAGACAAAATACTCACTTGATGCCCTCCTGCGCAACCTTGTTGACCCATTTCAGTATGTATTCGGCCTCCCAATCAATGGCCGAAGATAAACTGCCGTGCCCGACGGGACCGCACGGCCCGTTGTAGATAAAGTAGTTTGGTTGACCGCTGACACAGAGGGAGAGATAGCCTTGAGCGTCGACTTCCCATTCCTTGGCCAACGATCGGCCATCGCGACCTTCTTGAACCCACCTCGGTTTGAACGAGACATCGAACCCGGTCCTTGAAAAACACCACGAGTTAGCCGAGACGATTCATTTCTTCCATTGGACAAGTCGTGACGTACGCGCAAATGATGGCATCAAGTTCCAGCTGCTTCCCGTCCTGCATGGTGATGCCCGTTTCGGTGACCGTGTCAATATTCCCCACGACCAGATCGACCTTGGGAGAACAGATCGCTTCGAGATACCCGTTTCCGGGGGTCAGACGACGGCATCCAAGACTCCATTTGGGGATCAGGAGCTCCGCAAGTTCGGGCCGATCACCTATACGCGACTCCATCAGGGCTTTTGTGCGTCGTTGAGCCTCCTGGTTGGCCGCGGAGCCCTCGATCAGCGCTTCGTAGAAGTGGTTGAACGCGTGTGCCAGATCGTGTCTGTATTTGGTGTGCTTCTGAGGGTCCTTGCGGAACGCCTCCTTCTGTTCTTCCGTGTACCGAGGATTGGTCCCGGGGGCACCCGACAACTCTTCCACAAACGGGGCGGAGATCCAAGTGGGCGAGCGCACAATGTTGTAGAGGTGAGAAGCCACATTGGCCAGCTCGGGGACGATCTGGATGGCCGAGGAGCCGTTCCCAATGACTGCCACACGCTTCCCATCGAACACGGGCTTCTTGGCCCACTCGGCATAGTCGGCCGAATGCAGGAGATCGCCCTTGAAGGACGAGAGGCCTTTGATGTCCGGCCATGACCAGGCATTGAGGACTCCAGATCCGTTGATCAGGATCTGACAAGTGTCATGGATCGTCTTGTCCCCTTGCTGGACCGTCACATGCCAGAGCCCCTCGTCCTCGTTCCAGATGGCCGAAGTCACCTTCGAGTTGTAGACCACGTCCCGATCGAGATTGTGTTCCTTGGTGATTTTCCGGAGATAGTCCTCGATGTCGCCTCCCGTGGCGTAGAATGCCGGCCACTCGGTGTTGGGGACATCCAAGAGCGTGTAGATATGGGCCGGAACGTCGCACAGCACACCGGGGTACCGATTCTGTGGGATGTCGTCAATACTCCCCGAGGCCAATCAAACAAGAGAGGGAGGAGCTGTTCGACTTACTTCAAACCAAGTTCCTCCCACATCACTGTTCTTCTCGTAGAGAGTATGCTCGATCCGGTCATCGAGCTTGTACTTGTGTTGAATCTTGTGGGCCAAGGTCAAGCCGCTGAAACCACACCCGATACTGATCACTTTGACTTTCTTCTGCGGTTTCCAGAGCACGTGGTCTTCCATGACCACCCATTTGGGATTGTGCTCGACTTGTTGTGCCAACGGCTTCTCAAGGGGCAGGGGCACAGATTTGACCCCATTCAAGTCTGGCTGGGTACTAACGCCATTTGTTGTACTCACACCGTTGCTATGGGCGTGCTGGCCTTGGTCGCCGGAAGTATCTGCCTCAAGCGGGGCTTGTCCGGGCGTGATGGCCATTGCGAGCGGCGAGAAGCGTGCGACAAAGATAACCGATAAACGACAAAGTCCTGCACACGCGTGTGATTGAGCTCAATGAAAAGGGACGAAGAACGACCGAATCGCTGGCAATAATCCACCGTCACTGCTCGCTTAAGCCCGACCATTGCACACAGCCGCGTATATATACTGGTGTACCGAGTACAGCGTCTCCTTTCTGGCGGAGATCAATCGCCGAATCCGGGGCCGCGTTGCCGGACGTCTTGCCACATTTATCCCCATTGACCATGCATCATACCACCAGTGGAATAAGCTCATATGTGTGATTCACCCTAGTGCGACATACTCTTTTCCATAGGTTGCTGCTTTATCGCGGTCGTCCTCCTCTGAGGTGGTGAAGAGTATCCGTTCCTCTTCATCCGGCGGCTTCATAAGTGATAACTTCCGGTGGGAGGGTTAGCATCACAATCATCGCCAATGCATGGCCGACGCAAGAGTAGAAGATCCTCCACAAAGATACCAGAAGTTCAGCGACCTCGAATCAAGTTGTTCAAACCTTTGTCACGTGTTTGATCAAAGATGGAATAGGGTTTCTTTGACCACAAGGCTGAATCAAGTCTTGGTGGCCAACCAACAAAAAGAAAACATTTCCGCCTTTGTCAGCAGGAGAAACAACGACCTCAATCTTCTCGCCACGTGCAATCACGCCGCAGCCCGCTGAAGGAGGCTCAGACAGCCGGGGTCTCGTATCCCTGGGTGAACGGCTGTAGGAGCATCTCTACTCGGTACAGGCAGAGAGAGGCACTCGGAGAGACGGCGAGTCGTTGTCTTTCAGCACCTCGTAGTTGCTCACAGATGGACCCTCCCCCACTCCCCCACCCCGTACTCAGAACCTCGTAGGCAGCCACGACAGCCCAGAACCAATAATGCGGAAACATACGTGCCAAAGTTGAAACACGCTTTCACGCGTTGGGGCTAGACAGCCTCGTCTTGGCGCGCACCCGCTACAGCCGGTTGGACGGACTAGACCGCTTTAGGAAACATGTTGGTCCGCTGCCTCTTTCGGCCACCCGTTTGTTTATGTATATGCAACCGCCTTTCCGACCACGAGCTGTAAAAAATCCTCCTGCTTCTACAAAAAGTCGTATTCTCTTTCTCCCAACAATTGCATTTGGATGAGTCTGTTGCTGTTGCTATTTTCATCATCCTCGTATGATCTCACCTACGCAGCCTCATGGCCGACAACAACTCGACAGGGACAGCTCAAGTCCGCAGATCCAAGAGATCGAGCGACGCCATCTCCCCCATCAAACCGACACAGGCAATAACGCCCTCCAGAAAGAGACCTCAGAAGAGAGCCCGGTTCTCTGAACCACTCCCCGCTCATGGAACAACCGGTCTGACTCCCGCCGTGGGCAAGGCCTCCCTGAAAACCCCCAAGCTCAGAAGAGTGTCCACCCCGGCCATCACCCGGTACAGGGACCACGACGAGATCCAATTCACCCCATTCCGCGAAGTGCTCGACGCCAGAACCACCAGACGGATTCGGCGACATGGCCTGAGCGACGAGATGAATCGGTACCACGCGGAGCACAAGTCCAAGGACGACCTGCAGCGCCGACTCGAGCAGAAGAACAAGGAACTCCAAGCTCTCAAGGACGCGTTGGAAGCTTCGAAGCTCCGTGAGGTCTCTCTCCTGCAATGTGACCCGGTCGGGAGCCAGCAGCGAATCACCGAGTTGGAAGCCGAAGTGGCAGAATTGACCCAGAGGTCCAACGACGACGATTTTGGACCCGGCGGCACCAGCTCACCGCGTTTCAGCGATGGAGACGAGGGCTTCCATATCCATGAGGATGACTCCGCCGGCAACGAAAACCACACCACCGATGTAGAGGATGACGCCGCTGTAGGACTGGAGCTCGAGTCTGCGCGACAGGAAAAGCAAGCTCTCTTCCGATCGAGCCAGGGCTCTTTCACGAGCACCATACACTTTGCGGACTCACCTGCTCGTTCTTTCAGCGCATCACAGACGAACCCTCACCGCCCTGAGATTCCCACTCAAGAAATATCCAAGGAACTCCACGCCGCCATCAATCGAGCCGAGGAAGCCGAACTGGCGCTGCAAACCTTGACCACCGAAATCAAGTCCCTCGGGTTTCCCTGCGACAGCGACGATGCCAATGAATGTATCGCCGGCATCAAGACACACTTCCGCAACATGCGGTTCGAGCTCGAACGGGCCGTTCCCGGGGAAACGGTCATGTCCTTGAATTATGTTCGCCTCATGCCCGAAATGCTGTCAAAACTCAAAGCCATTGCCAGGCAAGTGCGTGACCGTGAGACCGAGCTGAAGTCGATGCGAGAACAGCAGCGGTCTTTGCGGGGCAATTTCGACCATGCACTGGTTGCGGCGGAAAAAGCAAACAATAGAATCAAAGAACTAGAGGACGCCATCGACAAGAACGCCGAGGAGATGCTCGAGCAGCGCATGCGAGCCCAGGCGCTCGAGCGCGAGGCTGCGGAGCACGAAGCCAACAAACAAAGACTCATTGCAGCCATGGAGAAATTGCGGCGAGAAGTCAAACGCCAGGAGGACTTGTTCGAGCTGGTCGAAGCGGAACAAGCTTCCCGACTACAGGACGTGAGAGCCGCGACGACGGCGGAATTCGCCCAGCAACTCTCCGATCTGGACGCCAAAGTCGCAGCCGAGACGCGCGGGCGGAGGGCGGCCGAAGAATCTGCCGTCGAGCGACTGAAAAAGATCAACGAACTCGAATCGGCCCTGTCCGCGGCTCGCCAGTACTCGGAAGACACCAAGGAGCAGCTGGAGAACCTCAAGAGCCAGCTCAGCGTGTCGGATCGCGAGCACCAAGCCGAAGTCGAGGCGCTGAATGCCCGGGTGCAGAAACTGAAGAACATCAACACCCAACTCGAAGCGAACTGGAAAGACGAAAGCGCCATGAACGAAGAGATCCTCCGACGCAATCATCAAGACCAGCTCCGCACCCACATGCAATTTGAGAAAGACATTAAGAAATACATCCGGGGTGCCAAGGTGCGGCACGCGAACTGGGAATTGGAGAGCGACGACATGCGCAGTGACGAGATACCCGGCGGCGAAGGACCCATGACGCCGGCCAGCGTGGTGCGATTCTCCGAATTCTCACAGGTCGACGACACGGATAGCGACCACGCAGACGATCACGTCCAGGGCAGCGTCGAATTGTCCCGGGGCAAAAAGCACCGTCGCCACCACCGCTCGTCGTCGATTCTGCTGCCTTCAGCCTCGGCTTCGGCATTCCCTGCAGCTGGCATCCTCAAGAAGCGAGGCAGGAGACGGTATGACAGTGGAATCGGCATGGACTCTCTCAGCGAGGCCGAAGACGACGATGTCGCAGATGATGTCGACGCAAATATGCAGCAAAACGGTGTCATGACCCCAGATTTGAGCTCCGAGGGCGAGGAGATCGACTTTGATACTCATCTTGACATGAGGGTGTAAAGCCTTTTCTTTCCATTTGGGCTTTGGAGATTGGTATGCGAATGTTTTTCTTGGTGATGGATATGCTGGACATGGGGACAACAGCAAACAAAGCAGCGGAACATGGTGTTTGAGTCGAGCTGCCACTCTTCAGCTGCATGTGAGGATGGAGCAAATGACACCTTTTGACATCCTGAGCGCAATTAATATCTCTTGGAAAGAAACGGGGGAGAAGCATCAAACTTGATTGAATTGGATTCGATGTGGTTGGATTTGTCCTGATTCTGGTTTATGGGATGATATACCTAATGTACCACCTCCTCAGACGGGGTCTTTCCTTTTATTTTTGGGGTACCATTACACGGAATGGACGATGTGAGAGAGAAATGCAGAGGTGGTTTGACCTCTTAGCCAAAAGAAGGGCAAGGCAAATAAATCCCCTCAGACCTTATATTGATAGGCAAGGACACAGTCCCACAAAGACGTTCCACAATGGAGACAGAATATCTGGTCCTTGTACAGAGGAGATCAAGCAGCTTATATATAGTAGCTGTTAGTAGCGGGAACGGGATAGAGGAATTGGTGGCGTTCGCTCGATATGTAGTCGTTACTATCATATGTCTGCATTGTCCAGGTTCCTCCCTCAGTGCCGTGTCCATCATATCAAGAAATTCTCGTCCGTTCTGCCCTATGACTGGAACCTGAAAGGAGGGAACATCCATAATATAGCGTCCCCCCTTGCCGCCACAACATAGTAATCCGAATGTCATCCAGGGCTTGCTTCCGTAGCTGATGCACAAAATCTCTTGGTTCTCGTTACATTGAACTGACCATCCCGGACAAACTCCCAGTATACGCTGACAAAGTCCCAGTCCCTTCATACAACACGTGGCTGTCTCGTTATTAATAATTTCGATTAGGAGAAGTCATCCATAGCCTTGTCAACAAGCTGGACGCCGTGCGCCTGGCCGCTTGCTGCAGGATGGGTTGTGCCTGCATCCTCGTTCATGTCACCACTACCAACCCCCGAGTTGCCAAGTCGCCTGCTCAGGCTCCCTGAAACTGCCGATCTCGACACACCGACTGGCTTGCGGTCACCTGTCACTGCGACTCTCTTGAGTGATCCCGGCCGTGATCCAGCATTTGAGCTTGTAGGTGCAGGAACCGGGGAGGTGTCGGATTCCTGATCATGATCATCATCGTCTAGTGGTGGCGGAATGTGCGGGCCCGGCCCTCCTCCGCTGAATGTGCCAGGTAGATTCAGGCTCGCGCTTGTGATCGAATCTGGAGAAGAAAGCATATGCTCGTGGCTGAGGCTTTGGCCGTTGGTGGTGACTGTACTTGAAACCAGACCCTCAAGGTTTCGTGCCGTTGGCGGAGTAGCTGCGTTCCTCTCTACTGCATTCTGATTCCGTGTCTGAATTGGCGAGGACTCGTTGCTTCCAGGGACTTCGAGACTGCCTCGTTTCGTAGCAGATGGCAAGCCCACACTGCTTACGCTTCGTCCATGACTCCCATCGGGTCTGGGGCTCGCCACGACGGGGAACCGACCCACGCTCCCATCCGTGCTCTTATCTCGCCTGTGTCGGTTCGTGGGCGCGGGCGACTTTTCTCGTTGCCTTTGCCCTCTCTGTTCCGTGATAGCCCGTGCGCGAGCCTCCATATTTGCTCGTCGAGAGCTTTCATCTGTAGTGCTGACGGCACGTTGACGGTGGGATAGACTGTTTGATCCTGACAGCGTGGACGACTGCCGCTTGAGCTCACCGAAGATGGCTTCTTTATGGTCGAACAGGTCACGGATTAGACGATACGCATGCCGCTCTTCCAGGGTCAAGGAGTTCTCGGTCCGTGGGCGTAATATACATGGAGCTAGGACAGTGGCAAGTGCCGAAACATAGGCTTCGTCCGCTGAGGTCAGGTCAATCAAACGTGTGAAATGTGTGGTTATGGCGTCGAGAGTGGCAATATTATTGAGGCGAAGCTGGCCAAGGGTAGATTGCAAGACCTTGATTCTCGGCAAAGCGTCAACTGACTCGGTGGAGATGGGATTTGGGATTGCGTCGGATGTCGTTGCGTAGATCGTCTTGATGATTTCGTACACTTGAGAAGAGACAAGCGAATCTGCCGAGAGTCAGTGGTCATTCTTTTACTAAATGTTAGGATAGACTGACCTGGTAACTCAAGAAGGTACAACTTCAGCAAACTCGCAATGATGGGCATCTCATATTTCTCAAGAACCTCCCGAGGCACTGGAGCACCATTATTGACCTGGTTTCGTAGGTGATGAGTCGCTGCCAATGGGACATCCACCAGCCAGATATTCCGCCTGGCTTCGTCTCCCTCTAGGTCAGGGTAATGGTTATCGAGGAATGTTAGTATAGAAGTGACAATGATGGGCACTCGTTTTCGATCCGCTCTCGCTCTTGCCTCCAGGTCAACACCAAAAGTCTGATCATCCACGCTTCCGTAATAGTTTTCGTAAGGTGTGACTTTGGGGATGAATGCACCTGTCCTGTAGTTCTCGAGCAGATATCGCAAGTCTCCCAGTGGCTGGATGGTTTCCTGGTACAGCATCATATGATCAACCTGGCTCTGGAAAGATGGGATACTGTTGCTGATAGCACCCGAAAAGTCCAGGATCACAGACTTGATGGCCTTCAGACGATCTGTTTCGCATCGCTCGAGGAATTTGAGATGGTCCATCATCGATTCTTCAAGGTTGCATCTCAGCAGGTCAAGTCTCCGAACGGCTGCCTTGTATTTCTCGTCTGCCTCGTGGGCCTCACGCTTCAGCCGCTCCGCCGGCGTCTCGTTGGGGAATGGGTTGTTCAAAGGGTTCCAGCTCTGCAGGGTCTCGGTGATGTTACCGACTGTTGGCGACTCCAAGATTCCATCTGCCGACGCACCGGTAGTCGATCTGCTCAATGGCTTTCTCTTCTCTGGTACACCGGTGAGCTGGAACGCCCGCGGCTTCCACTGATACTTCATTCGTGAACTATTGGCAAATGTATTGCCCATGTTTCCTATCAGGCGCAAGAATCCGCGATCAATCAAATCTTGTCCAATCTTCTCTGCGTACCCGACACTCGACGCGTTCATGTGTTTCTGGATGTAATCGGTAATATCCGTACCAGCGGACACATTTTGATATACACCCAATATCGGAACCTTGTGTTCACCCAGGGGAATCTTCTCGAGCATGTCGGTAAGAAGCACTTTCAGCTTTTCAGGCGGATATGTGACGTCTCCGATCTCGACAGGTAACTCGTCGATTTCATCCTCTGGAAGGACAATCTTTGGCGGTGGGGGGCTTTGTGGCTTGGGACTCTCCTTCGCTGGCCCAGCAAATGCCATCTTATTCTCCTCCTCGAGATCTTCGACCAATCTGCATTTGTTGAAGTACTGGCTTCTTAGCTTCTTGACCACTTCTGCTTGCTTGTCATGCGCCTTGATCTTAGCCTGCAGGTCGTCCTGCGAATTCTGTATCCGTGCAGCGTGCGAATCACACCATCTCGAGAAGGGGTTGACCACGAGTTCGCGGATATTGTCAGCGATTTTTCGATGGTTTTTGGAGGCTTCGACCATCTCGCCTCGGACGCCTTCGTAAGCCTACACAGGAGAAAGCGTTAGCAATGATGTTGGATGGATCCAAGCTCGAAGTTGACTCGTACCTTTCTCGTACTTGCGCCATCATCTCTTGCAAACCCGCCAGTCATTCGATCAATGGTCGGTGCGATATCTCCAAGACGGTCGCTGTACATTTCTTCCGCATCTGCCCTCATGCTCGCAATTGTGAGCACCTGTTGGTTCTCCACCACGCCCTGCTGAAGCTTCTGAAAGAGCACCCCCAGACCTCCTGCATAGTCCGTGGACCAGAACGAATCTGTGAAGCCGGGCATCTTTGGCCTTCCGGCGGGAGGATTCTCGGATCCCATCTATGATGATAGACGATCAAGCAAATCCAATCAATTGCTTGCACAGGAAGAGGCGTCGCTGTATGCTAATAAAATCGCACGAAAACCGACTCTCGAAAGCGCAGGTGACAGTTCCGCTGGATGCAGGTGCGGAGATCTGCCAGATTGGTAGGAATGTGCGGTTACGCGGTTCGTACAACGTGACAGCGAGCGCGCTTTAGAACCCACGCTCCTAGTCACTTTCGCAAGAGTGGAATAGAGAAAGAAAGGGAAGATAGATAGATCCAAGTACAGCTCTGGGACATGGCCAGCGTGTTGTTTGAGCAACTACAAATAAATTCAGTGCAGTTAGGCTGAATCTGAAACGGAAATTGAAGATGCAGTCTGGCCCCAGGAATAGCACCCGCCTTACTTTTGAAACATCGTTGAGCAGGGAAGAGTGCCATAGGCTGAGCCATGTGCGCCAGGTGCAACTGGAGCATCCGCCAGCTGATCCTTCCAGGCCTTTGTCCATAACCAGGCAACGCCTATAACGCTTTCTCTCCGAAATGGCGAAATGGGGGCTGGAGTGCCACATGTCAGGCTCTCCTGAATGGCTTAAAGTACGTCAAGCTTTTCGCCTCCTGGACAGGGCCATGGCACTTCGTTTACCGTCCCCATCGTACTCAGTACTTTCCCCCTATCCATCTACCAGCCCATAAGCTGCTGCTGACCTACAGGCCCCAGAAACTTCCAATGCTTCTCATCACTTGGAATCACTTGTGCCAGGCGCATGTTGGGGAGCCATTCATGTTTCATTTTCGTAAGGAATAATAGAACCGGTCGTCCATAAAAGATAGTAACCATCCTTCAGTTTCCCTTCAAAGTCGATGCATACACGGAATCCTGCCGAGCCTTGAGGCATAATGAGTCTGGTGGACAATAATCCTTTTTCTTTGCCTTTCTCTCTCCTTTCTTGTCCAGTCAGCAATCCCGGCTTGCATTGTTGTCCCAGATTTCGCTCAAAAGCGCCTCATTCCCCTCGTTGGAGACTGCGGTGGAGTAAACGACGACATAACTGGCATCTGTCTCTCAGGTGCGGTGAAAAAGTCATCGACGGTTAGTCAGTCTTTCAGGCCCAGGTCTTCCTCCGCAGGCACGACACGAATGGTGTTGGTATGACCTTGGCCACCTCTCCAGCCCTGAACGCAAACCACACTGTCGCCTTTGCCCAGAACACCGAGCTTGATTGCCTGAGCAATACCCCACTTCAATCGCTTGTCCACATCCTGTTGCCAATCAACTCCACGGAAGTCGGGCTTCGGTTCAGGGAATAGGAAAGGATACACTCCACGGTACAGGTGAGCATAGCGCGAAGCAATGGCGTTGCGCGTAACCATGATGATGGGGCACACCGGACGGTATTTCGAGAGCAGTCGCGCAGAAGAACCACTTGTTGTATATGTCAGTCACTAAAATCCGAGGCCACAGCTGGTAGAGACTTACCTGGTTGTCAATACAAGGATCGCGCCGGCATTCAGTTCCATGCTTGCACCCACAGCAGAAATCGCAATGGATTCCACCGTCTCAATGGGACGAGGGCAGCTGGTTCTCAACTCATCAAATGAGTTGGCGTAGGGAATGGCAACCTCGGCCAACAGGCATGTTTCGTGCATCATGGTGACGGCTTCTTTAGGATAATCGCCTTTGGCGGTTTCACCAGACAGCATCACACAGTCGGCGCCATCGAGAACAGCATTGGCCACATCCGAAACTTCGGCCCGGGTAGGTCGAGGATTCTTGGTCATGGACTCCAACATCTGTGTCGCGCAAATAACGGGTTTGCCCTTCATGTTACATTTGGCGATCATCATCTTTTGAGCAATGAACACCTTCGCAGCCGGGATTTCAATACCCAAGTCACCACGGGCAACCATGACACCATCGGTCTCGGCGAGAATCTCGTCAAAGTTGTTCATTCCTTGCTGGTTCTCAATCTTCGCGATAATCTGAATCTCCTTGCCCTTGTCACCCAGAACCCGTCGAATGTGCTTGATATCGTCTCCTCGTCGGATGAAAGAGGCAAAGATCATGTCAACTCCATTCTTGACACCAAACTCCAAATCGGCAATATCCTTCTTGGACAAAGGCGGAAGGTCGACATCCGTCCCAGGGAGGTTTACCCCCTTTCGGGAGGAGATCTGTCCGTCGTTGAGAGCTCGCACACGAAGGGTCTTGTCATCAATGACCTTGGTGACCTCGAACGATTGGATGCCATCGTCGACGTAGATCAACTTGCCAACATCGATCACTTTGGTGATGTTCTTGTAGTCGATATACCTGGCGCCCAGTTAGTCTTGCTGCTGCAGTTTGCAGGCTTTCAACTTACAGATTCTTGTCGTCGCTGGCGGTCTGATATTTGTCGTCGGTGGTGATGTTCAGTTCAAGGCCAGCCTTGATGGGAATATCTGCGTCTCCAGGAGTGTTTCCTGTTCGGATCTCAGGTCCTTTCTTTGAGAAGTCAGCCAAATTCTTTTAGTCAATAGTTGTGGTTCTGCTCACGGTGTCGAGGGCGATCGCAACGGGGCGGCCTGGATAGTCTTTTGCCGACTTTCTGGTGTTGTCAATGACGGATTGGTGGTACTGTTGAGCATTAGCTATCGATGCCGCATCATTAACAAGCAGTGTATACCTCGTAAGAGCCGTGAGAAAAGTTCATGCGGACGACATTGAGACCAGCTGTGATCTGAGTTCAGTATTCATGCGCCTCCTTTTGAAATGGTTCTCTTTCCACATACCCTTCCTCAGCATAGTAATCTTCTCAGCCGAATTGGTCTTGGGACCTGTTATGGAACATCACAATTAGCTTCAATTGTCCGCATTGTTGCTGCTCTTTACAGGACAACATACCAATGGTGCAGATGATACTAGTCCGCCGGTGATTCTTCTTTGGCAAGTAGTCGATGTTGAGGTTGCACTGCCATTCCAGCTTGGTGCGGTTGGCGAGATGATCCAAAGCGTCACCCATTTTGTTCAATTGATCTGGGTATACAGTTCAAGCGGTGAGGGTTGGGCAAGAGAAGGCAGGGTCGCGGGCTTTGGCTCTCAAAAAGAGCGGTGGTCGGCCGCCGAAGGACTGCCCGTCAAGACTCCGTTAGTCACCAACGTCTGTCAAACGCAGGACACCAAGGATTTACACGGAAGAGACAAGATACTCACAGTCGAACTCAGGAGGTGAATGGGCTATGGGAGGAGGAAAGAGGTTAGGAGGGTTCAATAAAGAATGAATGTTGCGGTTGAAGGTATCACCGCTCAGCAAAAAAAAATAATGGCAGCCCCCCTCTCGCAGAAGCAATGGTTGAATCCAACCCAGGCTTGCCAGGCTAGCTAACCAGCTGGGCCCCAAAGGGTTGAATCAGAATGGAGCTCACGTCACGCTTATCAGGGATTGATGATGGCACGACAGGGTGACACAGCACTCACACGCTGGAAGTATCAGGCGAACAATAGGCTAATGAAATTCACCATCTGCGCATGGGGGGCGGCTACTGAGATGGTTGGTGCCGGACATGAATAGATGGGGAGGTCCGCTTGGGGGCCCATTGAAACCTTGCGGAAAGCTGAAAGAGAGGGGCCGCCAGCTTGAAAGCTTCGAGCCCATTGAGGGGCAGGAGTCAACAGCTTAAAAGAGAGATAAGATAAGCGACTCACGGGGCTGCAACAATGTTAATCCGCGATCTGCTAGGTGGCTGGCTTGTGGTCTAGGTGGACCTGGTGCCTGCGCAGGTGACCTCGGGGCGCATCTCGACCTCCACCTTTTGTTTTCTTATTCTTGAACATCACATGTGAACAAACAGGCAGGCTTGGTTTCCGTCTTCTCCCACACTTGCAGCCCAGACTCTACCCAATATCATAGCAAGATCCTTCCAATTTCAGTCACCATGGTGGTAAGTCCCATCAAACCCTGTCAGACCTTGGAATCTGCGGACCGACAACATGCATAGCTCGGACGCCTCACCCACTACGCCTTTGACGCCGTCCTGATCTCCGCCTTTCTCGCGGGGATCAAGAGAAGCACCGGTCTCACGTACGTACAGCCGACATCTTTCAGCCTTTCTCTCCCGCGCTCTCTTTCCTTTCCTTTCATTCCTCCGTTCTACTATGTTTCAAAAACTCACTGATCCTGATATCTTGACATCTGACACAACAGACCAACCAGTGTCAAGGCCTCCTCGCTCGGCGAAAGCAAAGAGCTCCAAACCTGGGTCGACCGTTATCTCGGCGTGGGCGAATGGGTGATGGACCAGAGCGTGGCCCTCATGGGCAGCAGTAGTTGGTTCGAGCGGAGGCGATGAGGCCAATGAAAACACGAAATCACGCTTTTCTGAGCCGATGCACTCACCATACGAAAAGCTTCGCATGGGGGGAGCCTTTTCCCCCTTCGCAGATGAAAAGCAGGAGGTGGAATGATGACTTTATAAGACTATACAAGAAGGCTCTAAGAATCGGAGAATAGCATGACAATCCGGCGTCAATGGAGAAGGGACGGGACACGCGCTGATGGAATGCATATCTGTCTGTTTGGGCGGACACTGCCTTGGGAATTCTGTTTTGCGACACTCTCGACTCCTCTTTTAGGCCGGGCGTAGGAGAAAATAGTTCTTTGTCGCTATACTAGTTGGCCAGATGACTTTAGCCAAATGCCGTTGAACAGCAACCTCGTTACCGCTGAACCAGACCCCTTTCGAAATATCAGCGCGGGAAAAAGTCAATGAAATACATTGCTCTAGAAAGTCTACAGAGCACTCCCTGCCCGACCCATGAGATCGATCGAGATATTTTCGAGTCTTATTTGCAAAACCGAATGACCGTGAACAACCTGGCCTTTACCCGTCCATTTGCAACCCACCCAAAAAGAACCATCGTGATACATACCTGTAAAGGGGGAAAAAGCAATCACACATGTCGTCCAGCATCATATGAACAATACATAGCTAATCTAGCACCAACTCTATGCTGCGTGTATGTGGAATCACCCCATATTTCCTCTCAAAGTCCATTGTGGTAGTGGCTCTTCGTCTTGTCTGCTGCAACCTAGTAGTTACTCGTGGTTCCCTCGAAACGTGGCGTCGATCAGCCGGTCGAGATCGATCCTCTGGTAGAAGGAGATATGGCCGTAAGGCACCCAGTACTGAGCCAGTTTGTTGGGAGAAATCATGATGAGCTGAGAGGGAATGTACTCGTCTGCAGCGAATCAATCAAGATGAATTAGCACTTGAGCCGCCTTGGTAAGAATGGTTGGGTCGCGCGGCCAACGACCAGGAGAGGAGAGGGAAGATCAAGGAATTCAGGGTACTGCTGTTCACAGCAAATGCTATGATATGTATATATTCACCGTCTTTGGAAGGAACAAGTAAGGGGCTGCCATTTCTGTAAAACTCACCATTCTGGAATCCCCTAGCGGCGACATGGCCTTTACTTTTCACCACCCTCGAGCCTCTGAACGGATGTTCCTCTGCGATTCTAATCAGTCCGCCAGGGCCGATGTCGTCCGCCACGAAGGTGTACTCTCCCCTTGGGACATGCGGATCTCCCGTGAGTTTGACCGCCATGATGGAGCCCTTGTATATGCCTTCGTCTTCGTGCATTGCCATCATGTCGCGCTGGTATTGAGATAGTTGTTCGGCTGTTTGCTGAGCAAGCACCGGTGCTTCCGGTTCGGCCTCCTCGCCCTCAGGAGGCAACCCGATGAGTCCTCTTAGATGGGCGTCTGTAGGTCGATGTTCAGGGATTTCGGGCCCTTTGTCCGATTGTATGACCAGCAAGAATTCGCAACCATGGCCTGCATAATCGCCCACGAAAATACCTTGGTAAGGCTTTTCCTTCGTCGGCGTGTACAGCGCAGGGTCGATGGTGCTCCACGTAGAGACTTCTTCGCCTATCCGGATCCCGAAGAGTGCCCTGCCTGTTGAGAATTGACTCCAGTGCCTCAAACGAAAGGTGGTTTGCGAGATCTGATCGTGTTTCTGCGGCTTATGGCCCGATCCTCGGAAGTTATCAAGGCTGGCGGCACGCACCCGAGGCATATTAGGAATTGTACTTGGTGGCCACAGAGTCATGGACTTGTTCTGCAACTGTGGAGGAATGTCTCTGCTCAGAAAGAATGAGGCGGATGTGTTATGTCCAGGCCGTCCAACTGTCATCTTGATCTCGGCTCCCCACCAGCCCTGACGAGTATTGAAGGGAACAATGTCATGTGGCAGTTTGAGGATCGGGTCGTCCAGCCAGAGATGTACACGTGGATTAAAGTTGTGAATCACCACGCCAGGTTCATAAGGCCAGAGGATACCCATGGATGGAGTCCTCTCGGCTAGCAGTCGATAGCCCTCAATACAGCCTCGCCGCGGGTCGAAACGGCAGATCATCACGCGACCGATATGCGGTTCGTCAGAGATCCATATCTTGTTTCGAGGGACAAACCAGTAGGGGTGATGCGTAATGTACAAATCGCGAAAGGATGATGAAGGATACGGGTCCGAGGGAAAGTCTTGGGCTGGGATATTCGGGCGAAGGAGGTTAGCCCAGAGAAAGTCGTTGGAGGCCAGCCCTCGTAATCGACGACAGCTACGAGAGACCGAGACAAGTGACTGGCATGGCAGATGGCAGAGAATTTGATAGAGTATCTCCGAAGGGAGTCGCACCAGGGCTCCTTTCTGATGGCCTACCGACTTGGTGCTTGTCGTGGAAGTGGCATTGTCGGACTCCATTTTTCTGTGTTGCCTGCTCTAACTTCCGGAGGGGTCGGTCCTACGACCCTAGAGGTCTGATGGCGAAATCAGTGATGCTGCTCAGTATGGGTTCATCGACATTGATGGATAGATTGAAGGAACAAAGGTGAATGACTCGGTAGTTGATGGGGAATTAACCATCACATATGCGGTCACCCAACATACATTTTTCTCGGAGAAACAGTCAAACGCCTGAAGATTGCCTCCATTCACCCCGCCTTTTTGTACCGATTCCCAGCTTTTCTTCTGCTGCTCTGGGCGCGTTTGGCTCTCAAGAGTCGAGCTGACGAGCACGCGATCTGAAGAGTCGAAGTTGGATTGGAAGATGCAGCCGATGGCGAAGTCGAAGCCTTGACTGATCAGGAAGGTGAGAATCCAGCAAGCCACCCGTCGAAGGCCGCATGCACGGGATGCCCCACTATGATCGACAGGTCGCCCATGCTTGCCATGTCTTGATGAAAATACAAGGTGGAAGCTAGAAATGGTCAAGAGACTTGTTCAGAGGGGATCTTATACAGGCTGCGTGAGGATTAACCGCAGCTCCCTTGCTTACAGTGACCGGCAGCTCGCCTACAAGTACATGGATATCAACCAGTCCAGCGAAGCATTCTTTACAACACTAACTAATACATCCATCGATAGTTCTTCCTTCTCCCATGGATTCCGCCCGAAGATATGGCTTGTGCTCATCTCTTCAGTGCTGGATCTTGATTGTACTAGGCCTCTTATTGTTGGACCAGCATCAACCGGTGCGGTTGGCACCGTTTTTCGCATCATGGAGACTGAGACGAAGGGCCGTTCTGTTTCATCCATCGTGCGGACAATCCATCTTCAATGCGACATCAGGAAAGTGAGCGCACGGTTGATGGTGCATCATGACCAAACTTCTGGTACATGCCCAACAGTCCATTGCCATCGCCACCGTGCTCTGAAGACCAAGGTGTCCCGGACTCAAATCCGCTGCGACATTGTTCTCGGCACAGAATCCATGGGAAAATTTTTTTGGATGAAGGGCTTTTTCAAGTCGCTTCTTCTCTCATCATAATGGCCCTCAGCCACTAGATTTCGTCTCGACAGGTTCCAGCTTCTGCGCATGTGGTAACGACGACGGCCGGTCTTCTTCCTTCCAGATCTCCCGCTCCAGCTGTTCAATGCTGTAAGGCTTGATGTTCGGGTCTTTGGGAGGATCAGGGATCAAAAATTTTCCGATAGTCTCACCAAACACTCTCGTTAGAAAGACTTGTCGATTCTTCCGATCTTCGTTCATCGTGACACTGTACTTGAAAAGATCTTCGGCGTATAGGTCCGTCAACTTCGCTTCCTGAAGCGCTGCTCGTGCGGCCAGCTCCCGCTCGTGCGGAGGATATTCGTGCAGGGGCTTTTTCATCTTGTCCTCCATCGCTCTAGGCAATGCCATTTGTTCCAGTGTTGGGGCAGGTCGATTGGGGTTGAAGAGCGATGAGAGGGGAGGGATGGGCTGGTTGTTCCGCTTTGCCTCGTCCACTTGCGCCTCGTAGTCCATCATTCTGTGATACAACTTGTCCGCGTGCATTTGGATCTTCTCTTCGTCCTCGGCAGAGCTACCGGCGTTGGTCATATATCCCAGCGCTTGCAGAAACTTGGCCTGCAGTGTATAGCAGCGGTTGAAGGCCTTTGTCTCTTCATGGCACATGGTCATTCTTCCGCGTATTCTGTCCGTTACATTGCCGCCCTTGAGGCAGATCTGTTGCATTTCCTCCTCGAAGGCGCAGTTCTCCAGTGCGGCTTTGTGTATGGACTGATTTCTGTTTTTTCTTGCCGAAAGTACTCTCTCCACAGGCGTGGACGTAGCTGCAATGATCTCGTCTTGTGGGATGTAGGTCTTCCAGATGTGCTTGTATCTGCCATCCTGGAACAGCGATTCTTTTGGCAGCGGCTTGTCTTCAGGAGGTTGTGCCGCATCAGCAACAGTCTGCTCGGAGGGCTTCGAGTTAGGAGCGAGGTTTTGTGGTGGCTCTGACGGTTCCGCAGGAGCTTCAGCTGGGACATATGGACGTGGTTGTTGCTCTTTCAAGAACTGCTTGAGATCGTCGTCGAGGGCCTTTGCGGGATCATTTTGAGCGTTTCTCCCACCCCAGAACCAGCCCATCTCTTCTAGGGAATCGCCTGCTCTTTTCAGATCGAATGTGATACAATGGTGTCCATAGTCCACCTCTCAACCGCTGTTGCCATGTTAGAGAAATGCGATTGAGATTATTGGCTCGCTGGGGTCAGACTTCAAAAATTGTTTCTCCGCAGCCCAGCGCCAAGATTATCCCCCTTGTTAGTCCCCAACTTTGTCGCATCGTCGTTGTTTTCTCGTTTGATGTGTTGCCTTTACTCCAACTTATGCTTGAAGTCGCCCCTATGTACACGTCCACAGCTGCATCTGGCTCTCTGGCAAGCGCCAATATCCAATTTGCGGCCAGCTGTACGCTTCAGTGGGCTCCATGTCAATCAACCTAAAAGTGCTATCAAATGGATAACACCTTCGAAACACCTGCCACGCATAGTGTGCAATGAATACGAAAAGAGATACTTTTAGGAAG